GATATTAATAAGTTTTTAGTATACACCAGCTGTTCAGATGGTTAGCTTGGTTTGTTCACTTGTTTTAGGGACATGGAAACAGCACTGAACGAGTACTCAGTACTGCTGAGACCTAGCAGTAGATGAAGTATGGACAAGACTAAAATGGTCTTGGACTTAATCTAGACCTTGTCTGCTATCAAGGAGAAGGGAAATTCGCAGTTCAACATGGAGTTGCATCTGTTGAACACCTGGCTTTGCATGAAAGCAGGCTGTGTGACTGAGCAATGAGCTGCTTGGCTGTTCAGACTGCAGGCCTTGTGTCCTTGACGGGCACGTTCCATTTTGCATCAGCATTAGGTACAGGGCTGCTTTTTTTTTCCAGCTGTGTCCGTCTACATTTGATCACAGTTGCTTCAAGCTGATGATTTGAAAAGCATATTCATATCCACACATTGATTTTTCCAAGTGTATGTGCGTGTGATCAAGAATGTGAGGCCTAAGACCAAAGTTACCTGCTGCTTTCTCCTTATTCCAGTGAGGAGTGTATTTTGCGCTGGTTTTGTTTCAGATTGAAAACCAGATAAGCAGAGTGACTTTTGCTTTATTAATCCATTGTAGTCTTTATTTCTTTCATTTGATGTTACAGCAAAATCCTGCTCAAACCGAAGGAAGCAGGTTCTTTTGTTAGCTGTGGTTGAAGATAGTGATCTGACAGTGGGATCTCATCTGAGCGCGAGCTGGCCGTCTCCGGTCAGGCTGTGTATATAGAGTGTTCTCCTGTTTGGTTTGTAATCAGTGTTTTGGGAATCTTTCCAGCTTTGGAGGTTAACTTTGAGGTCTACAATCTTCTGAGCGATTTTTATTTTTTCTTCTCCATCTCCTATCTCTGGGTTACTCTGGGGCTTTGTGGAGGACTGGGAGTTGTTTTCAGTTTTTGCACGGCAAATATCTCCTCAGGTGGTGCTGGTTGTTTTTTGTTCCACTTAAGTTATTCATTTGTGGTTCATAATCTAATTTGCACTTACAGGCATGATGACCTAGATGTTAAATTCTGCTTAGTCCTTGATGAGGCATGGCAGTAGGCAGAAGAGATGTAACAGGTCAGTGGAAGGGCAGTAATTTGTACCAAAAAGACTTATTCCTAAAATAGCCACATTTTCTTACGTGTGCTGTACTTTGACAACCATTGTATGTGTGATAGGAAGGCTCCATAACTGAGTAGAGAAAATCGATAATATACCATTTAATGTACTAGAGCAAGAGAAAGACGTGGAGGGTGACTTGATGATAGTATTTGCCTTAACTCTTTGGTGTCCAGTGTTTCTCATCATGGACTGAATGATCTAAAGGGACTAATTAATTACTTTACCACAAAGGAAGCTGAGGGAAGTAGATTACAGTTTTGATCTCTGTACAAAAAGGTTTATGTGCTAGTTGAATTAATCCCTTGAGTACCCTATGGTTTGCAGTGTGTCCAACAAAAGGGCACTTGTTTCCTTACGAAAACACACTGTGCATACCAACATTCTCGTGCCAGAACTGAAAGGCTATTCATGTTGATCAGCATTTCCCACTTGCCTTAGTATTTAGTTGCCTGTTTCATTACTAAATGCTATAATGTACTCCACGTTTTTCTTTTAAGTTAAAGTAACTGTAAACCACTTAGACTAAAGTAAACTGGGATAATGTGTAAATGTTGGTGTTTCTTATGCAGCATGATAAAGCAAGTGTATCTTCAATTTTTACCAATAGCTGTGTAGCAGTTTGTCCCCTTAGAGGAGAATGAAAGAAAAAAAATGAAATTGTAGGTTCCTTGGTCCCTGATCAGTGATGAAAGTAGACTGTATCTATAGAAGAGGGGAAGAAAGTGATTCCGCAGATGAAGATGGGCTGTATGTGCTTTCCTGTATCTTCTCAGACCTTCCTCATAGTGCTCCAGACCCTGTCACTTTTCTTGTCACCCAGGTCACGCAGGTCCCTCCCCGGCCGTGTGAGTCAGTGAATGCTGTGCTGCTGTGGAGCATGCTTTTTTCCTGCCTTGCTTTCCTCTGCTTTCCCTAGCCACAAGTTTTCCAGTAAATGTGTAGAAATCATGTCTGCCTGAGACTGATAAATTCAAACCTACTGGTGTTGGTTAGTTGAAACCTCCTTGGTGTCAGTCACAAGTTACTGAGAGCACATAGGACATACGGATGGATGTCAGACATGCATCACAGTTGACCAACTCTTCATCTCTTAGATCTCTTAGAATCATAGAATGGCTTGGATTGGAAGGGGCCTTAAAAACCATATAATTCCAGTCCCCCTGCCATGGGCTGGGTTGCCACCCATCAGCCCAGGGCCCCATCCAGCCTGGCCTTGAGTACCTACAGGGATGGGACATCCACAGCTTCTCTGCGCAGCTGTGCCAGTGCTCACCAACCTCTGAGTAAATAATTTACGCCTAACATCTAACCTAAATGTTCCCTTTGGTAGTTTAAAACTCTTCCCCCTTGTCCTGTCACTACAGATCTTCAGAGAGCCCTATCCTGCACAGGGGCTTTTGGCCTCTTGATAGGTGTCTTCCACTGCTGTAAGATGTGTTTTGAGCAATGGATTCTCCCCAGTTGCTTTTCTGAGGGATTAATATCTTTTTGTCTTTGTACTTTGTATCTTTTAACTTTGTGTTGCCTTTGAACTGTCAATCCCCCACTGTGTGAGTGTCCTCCTGAGAGCTACTGCCTGTTCGTTATGAGGATCACATTCTATGTCTGTGAGTAGTAACATGTGGATGCATTAACAACACAACCCTGCTTGTCACAGTTGGTAGAAGAGGTTCGGTTTTATTATTTTTTTTAACTGTTCATTGTGAATGACATATTTTATCAGAGATGGTGTTCCAGTTTTCCTCTGCCTGTTATCTGGCTCCCCAGCCCTGTGAGATGTTCACCGCATCTCTCAGCTTTTCCCTAAAACCTTGCACTGTGAAAGTCGTTTTGCATTTTTGTTTCTGTATGCTCTGGCTTGATGGAGGCTGTATGCCTTTGCCCTTTCATCTTTTCTTTATGTATTGTCATATTTTTATAATCCCTCTTAATATGTTTGGAAAGCTGAAAGAATGAAAGTGAGAGGTGTTGTTTCTCTGGGAGGTACCAATGGTGCCTTGTTTGTTCTGGAGATAGCATTGTGCTTGTTGTACCTGGCGGCTCTGACAGCTCTGGATGGCTGAAATCACTTTTCCTCTTACCACATTTTTCCTGGAGGCTTCTCTAGTACTTGAATTTTTTTTTCTTTTGGGTGAAAAATTTGAACAAATTGGATGAGAGTTCTCTAGCTCTTACCCTGGAATACTCTATGGCATTCCTGTTTAAAATATTGCCAATGATTCCATGATTCTCTCTTTAAACTGGGGAAGAAAAAAAGTAATTAGATTTCATTCTGGAGTATTGCACAAACGTTAACTTTGTAATTTTTAGTATTCCATCTACAATGACATCCTGTATTAAGACAATTGACCAAAATGCAGAAGTTCAGTAACTTATTGAGGTCCACAGCATGCAATAGTCTCATTTTTGCTGATGATAGGAGTTTCTGACTTTGTATTCTGCCCCAGAAAGTGTCTTCTGTTTCCAACATACAGTTGTTGCTGAAGTACAGTGGGATGGTCTTCATGCTGGTTCTAGAAATGTTCGTCAGCCCTTGTACGAAGGATGAAGTATGAAGGATTGCCTGTACTAGGAAACATTACTAGGAAATTACAACAAATATAATCCAAAAAGGATGTGTGGGATGAGAAGGTGGCCTCTCCAAGAGGAGGCTGATACTTCTGGCGTCCCCCATGACTAAATACACCTAATACTTCTTTGTAAACTTTCTCACCTCTTCCTAATGTTGCTAGCAAAGTGACAGGTCTTTGGGCATTTTGTGTAGAAATGTGTGGTTTAATTTATATGGAGTTACCTTAAAAAATAAACAAAACAAAAAAAAATCCTGAGCACATAAACTTGTTAACATTTCCTTTTAGTTGAAAAAGGTAGGAGTGGGCAAATTTGATTTTGAAGTGATAGTTGTCTGTCATAAGAAAAAAAGGGTCCAAAGTAGCTACAGGGAATTCTGTGAAATTGTCCCTTCAGAGAGGCTTTCTATAAACTGTTATCCTGTAATTTCTGTGAGGGCTTTTTGTTTTTGTTTTCTTTTGGTTTTTTAGAATTTCTCTTAAATTATGTAAGTTGTAGGTTTCTGTTCCTATTTTGTCTTTAGTGACTACTGATATTTGGAGCTACATGTAGAACAAAAGATGTATACGTATATCTTGTTAAAACATAGACAAAGATGAGAAAATCCCACAGTTCTTATATACTGTCGTTCACTTCTCATATCCTTTTTTGACCTGTAAACTATTCCTGGTACTGATCTTACTTCTCCTGACTTGGGGGGCCTGTTGACAGCTGGTTTGAGTGCACAGAACTACCAACTTGATGGAGAGACGGACAAAAATGCTGCCCTATTAAATTACCTTTGCTAGCATTCTCAGTACTCTGGTTTTCATCAGAGATCTTGAAAATAGAAGAGAAAGGAATGCAGGCAAAAGTCTTTAATGAAGGGGAAGTATAATGCTTTTTGATATGAAAGTGGAGAGAATCTTTGGACATCACCTGCTCCAGGCTGTGGACACACACTGCTTAGAGCAACATCTACAGAAAAAAAAAACTGCAGACATAACCATTAATTTAAGATTCAAGTTAAATTTCAAATTTCAGTTGTGTGGAAATCCTTCTGAAACAAGAGTTTTTGGGCTCTCTTTTCAGTTGGGTTGGGGCTTTTGGTTTTGTAGGGATTTGATTTTGTGTTTTTGCTTCTGGTGCAGCATTTGCTGTGATGTTTGCTTAGTTCTGTGGTATGACCAAGTTTTGTCAATTTTCTGTCATGATGTTTTGAATAGAATAAAAGCATTTATGAGTATTCTAAAATGTTGCTGCTGATTGTCAAACTGAACTGACCATGAGCCTTTTTTTATCTTTATTCTTTTCTTTTTGGAGAATAAAGACCAGTTTCTTCATGATGAAGTTCCATCTTCAGTGTCTCAACTTGCAACAAAGGTAAATATCTGTTCATTGGAAGTGTAGCATGTTGTATATCATATATATACACTTCACTCTGTGTGTGTTAGGAGCTTTGCTTTTTATTGTGTGCAGCCTGAATTAAGGAGGATATTTATGTACTTTATTGTTGGTTTTATTGTTATTTATGGCCCTTTCTCATACTGTCATGGATTTCTCATTGAAGTATTGTTGAAATATTAGCAGCACAGTAGTTGCAAGGAAATAAAGCAGTGTTGTAATTATTTTTTGAAGGAAAAGTTCCTTTATTTTTATTCTTTCATGTAGTATATATGAAAGCATATATATATTAAGAAGAAAATAAGAATCCACAGGAATTAACTGAAGCACAATCTAAAGTAAAGAAGAACTAAATATTACCTGTGCTGAAAATATGATCACTAGGAGAGATTTTTATATATATTCCATTAAATGTGTAACTCAGCTGCCTCTGTGACCACAAGAACTTTATCTTGTATCTCTTTCTGGAAAGTCGGCATTTGACTTATATATTTTTTTACCTTGATGTGTGTCCAAGAATATTTTTAGTGTTCTTCAACTACTGTGCTAGAAGATGAAAGAACTGGAAGTCGCTATGACGTGCTAGAGCTTGTTTTGAAATTCCATAGGTATAGAGAAAAGCATTTAAAAACAGTGTCATTAGTGTAATAGGATACTTCACATTAACATGTATTAACTGAACATCTGCCTCTGTTACTTCTTTTTTGTTCTACTTGAGATGCAGTATGATTTTCACTGAAAATAGTAGTGCAATTATGCTATATCTTTCTGCTTTTTAGAAAAAAAAAAAGTATTCCTCCTTCTGGGGATGTAAACTGCTATGTTTTTTATGCCAGATGATAAATGTTTAGGAAAAGAATCTTGACATCAATTTCTTTTATATTGAAGCTTTTTTTGTCCATTTCTTAGTCATTCAGGAAGACTTGCTAAGTGTGTGTTTTGGTTTCAGGGGAAAAATAGGCCCCAGGGCAAACCACTGAGCTGCGGTATTTTTTCTGTTGTAAAGTAAAATCCTCTTGTCTTAAAAATGTATTCACTAAAACCGCTCCTTATCCTTCTCATCTTATTTTTCTTTATTGTTGTTTCTGAAAGCACTTCTGAGTTTTATTTGGTTCTTCTGTCTTAGAAGCTGTCAGTAAAGTGGTATCCCATGAGTTCCAAAATCCTTAATATAGAAGGCTTTTTATATGTGTGGCCTTTTCAGTGGATGCATTTCATGAATGAGTCTCCATGTAGAAACAGTATAATGAAGAACAATGAAGTTCTTCAAGAAAAGGGATCCATATTTGGTATGCATGCCCTTTAGGGAAATAGCCTTTAAGGATAGTCCTTAAAGCTGAAGTTTTAGGCCAATTCTCATTCCCAGTCTGACAGAAAAGTCTTTGACCTGGATCTGAAGGTGCACAAGCAGGAGCTGGTCCTAGTGGCTGAAGCTATAGGCTGCTTACATTGTGCTCATGCAAGAAGTTGCCTACCCTGCAGTGAGGACATGCTGGCTTCAATGCTAGAGTTTTCTGGCTCCCTTTTCCTGTTGCACCTAGAAGGCAGGTACAGCTGGTTAGAAAGCCATGTGGCATCTCCATTGGAGGAGCTGTGAAATCCCTAGTGGTACACTGGGAGAGGCAGAAGCTGGAACCATTGCACATCGCTCTTCGGCCTCAGCTAAGCTCATCTCAGTGGCCGGAGCCCAGTGCTGAGATCCAGCATTAGAAGCACAGCGGAGGAATCACCTGCAGTTGTTACCAGGCCAGCTTTTGAAAAGAGACAAATAGTTTGGAAAAACAAGATACGTTATCTTCGTAAGGGTACTAGAGATGTTGGGAAATCCAGCAGGGCCAAATTCTGGAGTTTCTCTCCAGAAATAATTGTTGGTCTGCACACCAAGAAAGTTGAGGAGTTCCTTCCTGAAAATGCTTTGATAGCTGGGAAACAAATTTGGAGGGGGATTGTTTTTTTCATTTTGAATTCTTTGTTGTTTGGATTCTAGCATGTTATGAATAGGCTTCCTATAATGTGGGAACAGCACTTCTTTAGTTAAAGCTGATTGACATTTTTTATTATAAAACACTCAATTGTAACTTTATTGACCTGTAAAGTACTTATATGGAAAATTCCTCCCTGGCTTTTTATTTTGATAGGGTGGCAGAGAAGGGAGGAAAGCTGCAGGACAAACAGTTGTTTCTTCTCAGTCATGTTGGAGAGAAAAATCCATTTTTGTTTCCATTTAAGAAAGAAAATTGTGCACACTTTTCGTGGAGTGCTTTTACATTGCTGGAGGATTTTGATTCACCAGTTGTCAGTCCTGTGTGAAAATACTTGTGACGGTCTGCTCAAACTTGGCCAAAACATACATTTCTAGAAATCTCATTTCATACATGCTGAGTTGAGGCTTTTTAGGGATTAGCTGCTTAACTACACAACAGCACTGAACATGCTGATTCTCACTGCAGGTATACGGAGCACAAAATTGCTCTTTTTGGTTGCTAAGACTCTTGTTATGTGGTTTCTTGTAGCCCACAGAGAGTGACTTCTGTTCCCGGGAGCCCTGCTGGTTAGCAGTCAAGAAGTAGAAAAGTCTAATGAGAATATATTGCAAGTGCTACTAGCCATTCATGAAGCAGTACAGTTTTAGTCAGAGTCATGTTCAAACATACTTGAATCATTCACTTTGAAATGTTAACTATGTATCATATACCTCCAATGTATGTCCCAAATCCTTACTATTGTTCTTAGACTTGATTGAGACTATGCTTATCTCCTCCCCACCATAATGCAGCATTCATGTACAATTAACTGTTTTCAGTTAAGTGTATTCATCTTCTTTAGTATGTATTCATCTCTATGTGCATGTATATATTTCTGCAACATACTGTTTACTTTTAGGAGTGTTCTACTTCGTTAGTATATAACTGTTAGTATTCCTCATTTGTCGCCTTTTAGCCTAATTTTTCACGAACCTTCTTAACATAACGTGGAGCTCTAATTATGAATTGCATACCTGTGACAGTAAAATTAACTGAAAAGTCATCTTAGCGATGCTTTACTGTTTCCGAGTAGACTCTGATGGCTTATTTATTACTCATTGCCTGTCTACTTAGTATGGGAAGCTGATGTCAATCATCTGAATTTGTTGGTGTGGTGAAAACTGTTGGTGTGGTGAAAACTGGAAAATTTAAAGTATTTTATTTGTAGTGATACTTCTCAAATTTAGAGGAGACTTCCAACTAAGAGGACCTGACCCTTTCTGGGGTACTTTACATATCAAGTTAACTATTGATAGATGTTTGTTCCCTATTTTTTTTTTTTTTTTTTTTGCCTAAAGATGGAAAAAAATCTGGTCAACATATGTAGTTTATGTGTAGCTAATTCACTTGGATCAATATGGGCAGCAAAACAGAAAAACCTTCCTAAAGGGTTGAGATTAGGGGGGTGAGTTCAGGGAAGCCACTCTGTACCTAGAAGGCTCTATGGAGGAAAGATGACTGCAATCTTTATCACTAGAATTCATATAGTAATTTCTGCTACAAAAAATGTTCTGTTACCCCTAACCTCTGTGTTTTTAGTGACTATCTGACTCTGACATCTTTTATTGAGCTGATTCTTATCGTTAACCAAAAGAACGCAAAAAACAAATGACTTAGTGTTCTGCTTACTTAGTAATTTCATCTGATCTTCCACAGTATCACACGGGTACAAAACCATGGGATAAGGAAGGTGGTATAAATGTCAGTAGGTAATGGACTGGATCTGCCCTTTTCAGCAGCAGTGTCTGATAAACTAGACCTGCCATCGTGTGAAAGTTCTCTCCAGGAATCTGTCTGACAGATGGGCACCAATACTAAAGGTTTGGCAAAGGCAAAGCAGAGGGAATAGCAGTGAGGGGGAGAAGATTGCAGGCAGTTGGACTAGGGATGGACAGACTGTATCCTTTACATGATGTTCTGGAAGTGGCTGCTTGTACTGCCAGTGTCAGAAGATACACTAATTAAATGGCAGCTTTTTCAGGATAGAGAGAGTTCTTCATAAGCTGGAATTAACACTACAGAATGCAGGGGAAGAAGATTATGGTTTTTCAGTAGTCTGCCTGTTGATTGATTAATCTACATTTCACTTCTACTGATCCTTTTAGGTGATTGCATAGAGCATTGTGATGCAGATTTTCAAGACCTAAAATGGATGTTAGGGGGAAAGTATATTATGGCTGTTATGATGGGAGTACTCCATGCTCTCACAGTCAAGCTAGCATGAGAGTAGCCTGTGATCCTATTTCACACAGCTCTGAAATGACATCTTGAGATGTTTCTACTTTCCTTCTCATGGGCATTTTTGAAAAACAGTAGACTCTGGCATCCGACTTGGTCTACTAAAGTTAGAAGTTCTAACTTCTGAAGTTACAATACTAGCCATTAGTTGTAATCTGTTTTTCTTAGCAGTCTCCTCTGGGCATTTCACTTATCTTTTGTTTTGAAGTTTTTATTTTGTTTTAAACCTGGAGTTTTGACTATATGCCCAGTTCTTTTCTAGTGTTGTCAGCTTTGATTTTCAGAGATCTTCTCCTCTGAGCTCAAGAATAGTCTGTCCTGCCAACCAGGGACGCAGGCAGAGGTGACGGGAGACCTGTGTGGATGAGCAAGATGCTTCTGAAAAAAAAAAAAAGTATACAGTAGAAACATATGGAAGGAGAAAACAGGGTCAAGTGATGGAAGGGGAACATAAAGACACTCTAAGCATGCAAGGATGGAGTTAGGAAAGCCAGAACCCACTTAGAGTTAAATCTGGTGAGGGAAATAAAGAGCAACAATGAAAGGCTTCTGCACGTACCTCAGAAGCACAGAGAAAATGGAACCTGGCTCTTATCAGTGGAGGCAATGGGCTGAAAGTGAGAAGGAAGAAATTCCGTTTAATGACAACAAAATATCTTTTCACCATGAGTGTGGTAAGTCCTGAACAGGCTGTTCAGAGAGGCTGCAGAGTCTCCACCTGTAGAGATGTTGTGGTTCCAACTGGACACAGTCCTGGGCAAGCTGCTCTGAGTGTCCCTGCTTTGAGCAGTGTGGGTGGGTAGATACCTCCAAACGTCTCTTCCAGCCACATGGACTCTGTGGTTCTTTGAACTTTGGATGCGGAATTATTTCTTTTTCCATTGATGCATGGAAAAAGTACTTTAGAAGTTTGTGAATATGAACTAGTCATAAATGTGGACTTATTTGAAAAGTTTAGGAGTAGCACTTTTGAGCTTTGTGTAGACTGTTACGTCATAAAAATGAAATACAGAGCTTGTGGAAGTGGCTTAATGCTCAAAGACCATATCAGTAGTTTATTTTCATGTGTTGCATAACTTTGCAAAGTTGTTGAAACTGCTGCGTGTCAAACTCAAGGTTTTGGAGAGTGGTGACCTCAGGATCTCTTTACTGAATTGTACCTACTAGCAGATACAGTTGTAATGACTCCAGCTGCACTGGGAATCGCACTTACCTCTAGGTTAAGCAAACACATCTTGCTGTGTTAGGGAATTTTTTAAGTACATGACAGATATATAACAGTCATGATCAAAAAGAAGGATCACTGTCTTAGTAATTCAGCAGCTAGAAAATAAGTGATGGAAGTATACCTTAAAAGTTAACTGTGTAGGCATACTTCATTCTGGTGGCCTTATGTGGTGGAGTGACAGCTTCGGTGGAGGGGGAAGGGTGGTGGATGTCATC